GTATCACCTGCGGGAGTTGTCGCGTCGCAGCCAAACTCCTCAAACCAACCTGAGTAGGACCGGCGGACATGAGCCTTCAAGCAGCGGTTCACAGCTACGTCGAGAGGTTGGACGATTGGCGTGCAGCCGCCCGGTATGACGGCACGTGAGAGTTTGAAGAGACGCATCAACGTCGCCACCCCCTCAGTCAGATGGCCTTTGTAGGAGTCGAGGACAACGAGTGCCTTCTGCCGCCCGCCTCGGCGCGTATGAAGTCGCTTCAGAAAGGGGACAAGGACCGTCGTAATCCAGTCCTTCACGTGGTCCTCATCCATCCATCCCTTCTCCTGTGCGCGGATGACGATTCCTGCATGCAATAATGAACGAACCAAGCTTAGTGTTAGTTTCTAACTCCCGTACATGAAAAACTTACTGACATCAAGACCCAGTCGATACTGACCTGGCGAGACTCGAATCTTGGGGAGCGTCTTGCGCTTGAAGATTACATACGGCTTGAGCTTCTGCCCGCTAGCAGTGACTGCCAGCATCACGGTCAACCGCTCCTTTTCATAGCCAGCAGTCCTAACATGTACCGTCCTTGAACCGCGGAATTGTAATGTAGTCTCTTGGGGCATTTCGAGGAACAAGGGCGTCTGATCGGCGTTGATGATCAAGTTGTCGTCATACTTGTTGACTGTGCGCATCTGGCGTACGAAATCCCAGAACTTCTCGACTTTAGCCTCGCAATCTGCATAACGAGAAGAGAATAAACGATGTGAGTATACATGCTTAAGTTCTTACAGCTCAATGAATGGGAAACCAAAAGCGAAATTGCTAAAGACCTTGCATATCAAGCACACAACGCACCGCTGGTTAGGCGCTGGCCCATCTTTGTCTTGACGTGCCGTGTCAATCCCCAACGCGTGCAGAACCGGAAGGTCCAACGGGATGACGCACGCTAGTCGATACCGGGATGGCGCTTCCGCATGAACTTCCTACTCCACTTCTGCAGACAACTGACCGACACCGTCAAGCCGCGCGCACGGTGTGAGAGGAAGCGGTTGTACATCTCCTTCTCCATGTTGGGGAACTTCGCCTTGCGTCCAGCACCGATGAGACGACGCCTGCATCCCGTCGCCGCCGACAGTAGTGACTTGTTCTTCTTCCACTCGCATATCTGACAGGGTTGTACCTCGGCCATCTTCGCCAGCTTGCGATTCGAAAGCTTCGGGTCGGAGTCGAGATGGGCCAACCAGTATAGCTTTTCCGCCGATGTGCGCGAGACTCTCTTGCGCCTGGTCCTGCGATGTCTGGGGGAGGGAGGTGCTGCATCCCGGTTAACTCGCGGCATGTGGGGACGACGAATGGGCTGAGGGAAAGATGGAACAATGACACGAGGAAGTGTCGGGGGTGGCTCTGGCTCTCCATCGGCAGCATCTTCCCAGTGTAGCTCATCATCGTTCTGCCAGTCGTTGTCCCACTCGTCGGGACGACTTGCAATCGAAGATGATGTATAGGGAGGTGCAGGAGGAGCAGGTGGGGCAGGAGGTGCAGGAGGCGCGGGAGGCGCAGGCGGTGCTGGCGGCGCAGGTGGTGCTGGAGGAATCGACGGAAACGGACGGAGAAGAAATTGACTACCGTGGGGTGGACGATGGGTTCGCAAAACTGAGATGCCGCTAACAGCACGGGCCGCCTACAAAATCGCCTCGGCGGACTTATGCCCGAGGCTCTGTTAGAGATGTTCGACATCGCGAGAGATTTTCTGTTGGGAAGACAATACTGGAACGCTAAAATGACGCAGCGACAACAAACGGATGAACAAGAAACGTGGGCCGACCCCCTACCCGAGCCGCGCACGGTTCTTGACAGCTAAAAAAGACCATCGCATGCTAGCATGCGATGGTCTGGTCAAGAAGCTTCTAAAGGGCATCTTGAGATGCCAGATTCCATCGCAGGTGTTACGCTGGCAGCATCTACTGCACGTAGCCGTGCACACGCAGCGCTGGCAGCCGATGGCAGCAATCCGCTGGCTGTTGGCAGCTGCGACCGTTAGGGATTGGCCACAAATCCTATAGCCCATGCCGAGTTCGACACGTTGGCATGGCCATCCTCTTATCCAAAAAGCGCAAAACTCCCTAACAGAAACCCAATGCATGTATAAGCCAAGAAACAATCAGATTCAAAATGAATTATACATAACACATGGGCCCTATATTTTTCCAGGCCACTGTTAACGCCCAGTCCTTTTTTTAATGAATTATTATATCCACTATAGGGTGTTATAGACGGGGGATTACGGTAACAGGCACGAAGCGAGAAGCCTCGGAATTACCTCGAATCTAGATCCACTCCGTCATTTTGCGTAGTGTTTCACGAAAAATTATGGGGGGCTTGATAGGAAACAGGTTTTGTTAAAAGGAAGGGGGCCTATATCGAATAATGCCTAGAAGTCCCAATGCACGAGTTAGAGCCCGTGGGACTAATCCTACGGAGGGGCATCTATCTGGTTGATCACGGTAACCTTATTGCACAATCAGCTTGAACCAACACTAGTAGACTTACATCAGTAAACATGCTCAACAAACCAAGCCTATACCATACACATCTATCGTAGATATCAGTATCAGCTGCACCCCTCGCACGTTTACCTGGATATAGCCACCAAGCTCAGCTGCATAACCTATGACCGAGGGGTGATGCAATCCTGAAGAGACGCCACAAGCTCTCTTCTCCTCCTCTCTGCAGGAGCATCCCCCCTCAGCTGCACAGATGTTCCCTGCATGCTTGCTGCCCCCTCACCACCAGCCTGAGCCACCCTCCAGTACATGCAAGCCATCTCACTCTGGTACTGGTCATACACCACAGTCGCATTAGCCCTCTTCTCCTTGATAGCTGGCCAGTCATACCAATCCATTGCGTACTGCCAAATCTGCCGCTGGGGGAACTTGTTCACATCATCACACCCCGGCAGCTCCCCAGCAGGCAGGGCATGACACACGCCCTCGTGAGAGTAATATGCCGCCAGCTGGACGTACGTTGTGATGACTCGTGGCGCATTGTCCTTGTGGTTGGTGGCGACACGGAATGGCTGCGAGTACGGAAGGTGCACGCCAACGCGAGGAATCGGCGTGTGATCGGTCCACTCCAAAGCCCAATGCACCTCATCATGAGCGTGCGCCCACATGTAATTCCCTATAGTCGTATGAGCGATCTGGGTCTTCTCGAACTTGGGTCCATGGAGGGCGAACCACTTGAAAACGGAGTCGAAGCTCTCGCCCTTTCTCCTGTGAACTGTCGCCACGTGGTTCCTGAATTTCGGCAGGACACGTGTCGGCATCACGAACGGCAGCTGGACCATGAAATTGGCAAAGTACTTGTCCTTGCCAACGAAAAACTGCGTGGAGGGTAACCAGTGGTTCATCTGCTTCTGCGCGCTGCCAATCACGTATGGCTTGCCATCCGTCAGGTTGAACAGTAACCCGGGAGTTACTTTCATGTTAAAGATGACGTCATCATCGATTAGAGCCACGTAAGGCGCTGTCGTGTAGTTGTCGGCCCAGAGGTAGCTCCACTGCTGCAGGATCTTTCCAGGAAGGTTCAGGGGATTCTCCTCATAGTAGACCTTGACCCACGTGGGGATGAGGTCCTCAGCCAATTGCTCGTCGGCATCAAGGACGAGGATGACGTCACCGATGCCACGTGGCCACATCTGCTCGATGCTTGCGAAGAGCATCTCCAGAAGGAAGAAGGTGGTGGACACGTAGCTGCGGATTACGAGATCCACGCGGCTCGGCCAAAGCGATCTGCCAATCAGGTGCAAAACAGATGTGAGAAACAACCGACCAGAAAACGATGAAAAAAAGTGATGCTGGGGACAAGGAGCCTACTTATGGGCGCTGCTTTGAAGTCCAGATTAAAGCACATGATAGCACAGAGATGCCCGGGAAAATGGCTCATTTTCCTACCTGTACACGTCGTCATAGAGACTGAAGAGATTCGACACGCAGTGACCCGTCCGTGAACGCCGCTTGCAGCCCCTCGCGCCTCCACCGCCACCGCCACCAAGATTCGGATTAGCCTCACTTAGAGGCCAGCCAGTGCCAAGGACGGTGTGAGTCACAGAGTCACCGTCAGGCGTACTTATACTACTGCCAGTAGAAACTTTTCCAGAATCGGAGCTGCTGGCGCCGCCGCTGACCTCCTGACCTGTCCTCGTCGTGCCACCAGTCGCAGACTCCGACTCAGACTCTGAGTCGACTGGGCCGGCCTTGACCGACTCCGAAGCTTGCGGCGGCGACCCCGGGACGCGGCTGGCGTTTGCAGCCGCCGCCATCATTGTAAGTATCTTTGCGGGCGCGTCATCGTCTCCGCCTCGATCATTGTTCTCGTCGGGAAAATTGAGCGGAATAGCCGCGGGGTTTGCTGTGGAATGATCCAATTCCGCCCGACTTGAAGTCTGGCCGAAGTCTTTCGTCGAGTTGATGTCGTCACTGCCGGCGCCGCCTTGAGGTTGTTCTGCGGCACTTCTCTCTACTACCAGTAGAGCTGCGGTGGAGGAATCCCCTCTGCCGCCTCGAGGTTGCTCTACTAGCAGAGCCGCAGCTGCGGCGGCGGCGGCAGCGGAGTCGTCGTGGTAGTCGTACGGCGCGGCCAGGAGCTGTCGCAGGCCCGTCGCACGGAGCTCGCGAACCGAATCATCCGGGGGGTGTAAAATCGTGCCGTGTCGCACTGCGGATGCGAGAAGGAGCAGCGAGAGCGCCATCGCGAGGGAAAGGAGACAGAAGAGGGCCTCTCGACGAGAAATCACAAGAAAAGGCGCGTCTTTGCTGCTGTCTCTGCTCCGAATCGGAATCGGGATCTCAGTAGACCCGCCAATTGTATTGGGACTGCTGCTAGACCCGCCACCATCGGTAGTCGCACATCCTGCTGTAGTGGCATTCGATTGCAAGGAGATGGATATACGAGGGGTATGAGGGAGAGCCGCCATGTCGTTCACAGTGTCACTCAGTGTCGACGGTCGTTTTGAATTCGCCGGCACGTGACTCATTCACCTTGTGAATATGTTCTGCCGTAGAGACTGCTTTGAAGTTTGCAAGCCAGATTCCGTTTAGACCTTTTTCAGGACCTAAATGATTTCGTCAGAGAATTAGTTGTTCAATCTCCGGAACCTCATCCTTATAATGAGCTGGCATCGCTTGGAATGGGAAAGAACGTGATGGAACGCGAGGCGAGAACGTTCCATGTCGGCTGGGGCTCAGGACGAATCGGATTCAGGTGTTGGTTATGATGGAGGGATTCCGAAAGGGGCTTGACTTCCACGACTGCCTCTCTCTGACTCAGAATCCTTTCCGCTTGACTGGCAAAGCCTGCCAGTTGCGGGACTGCTCTGCACCTGGACTCTTTTCTTGGCTAATTCAGCAGTTAGCTGCCTTGCTGCATTCCCTTGGGATGCAAGATTGAGGATATCGGGTGCTGTGGAAGAAGGCCTGGTATGCCGACACAAGGAATGGTATTGCTACTCCCGTTCTACATAGTGGTACTGTACTGTGCAGTACTGCGCCAGTGAGGCCGCGAGTAGGTGGGATGAGGGGCTGCCGTGATTTGCATGGCATTGGGTGCGTGGATTGGCGTGCAATGCATTTGATAGTGCGACATTGCTGGAATTGCTTGCAACGACGCAGGTGGGACGGTGCGCCAGGATTTGACGAAATGGGCGACTCGTCAACGGATTTCTCAAGGGATGTTTTACCGGCTGCTCGTTGTGCCGATGTGACCACAGCTTATATGAATGTGGAACCATTTTATGTTGTGGTGTTTATTTTACTCCGTTCACCTAAGTTATGATTATCAACAGACAAGACTGATTTCGCTCAAACAACACGCCCTGTCAAACGACCCTAATGTCTCAGCCAATTAGAAAAATTCGCATTCCCCTGCGTAGTGTGATGCGTCGAAGTGCAATCGGACTGAAATCGGGCCTTTCCCTGCGACAAGTGGACGGACGTCGTGAATCGTGATGCCTAACTGCCATGTAATGGATGGTTTTCTGGGAGGTGAATTGAGGTTGAGGTTTTGGTGACGGACAAGGTTCATGTCGCGACGTGGAAACAGTGTTTTGGCAGACAGCTGGCAGTTGATTGTTGGCAAATGTAACCAGTTCAAAGCATTCTGTAGCCGACTTCGTACAGTGTGCGTTTCAATTTCTTGACTTTGCTGAAGCCCAGATCCCACAACGCACGCCTCATTATGCTGTACAGCGTCCGACTTGGCTGGACCGAGTGACACAGAAAACTAACAGCAATAAACATTCTATTCAAATATTGGTGCAATATTACATATCTTAGCTACTCTAAAATACAACAGAATAAAAACACTGCAATGTATCGCCTATCTCATATATTTTGTTACTGTAATGAGGCACAAACAGTGAGTGTCAAATATTTATAGTAACGGGGGTGAATATAAAACGAGGCAACATCAAAACAACAGAGCCCAAAACGCACAGTCAAGGTTCAGCAGAGCTGAGATGCGGGGCTGCACATTGGTGCGGAAATTATTTTTCAAGCACGAAACTACGAAGCGTGCAAATTGCATGCGCCTCCGCAAAGGGCCGCATTTGGATGGCGCGATATGATTATCGTAGCAAAGCTGTGCAGAAACTGCTAGAATAACTAAACGATTAGAAGGAAGAGGGAACAACGGATATATAGGGTTTGGTTTGTACTCTCTAAGAACTCACACCTATTTAGCATATAACTTCTACATGCAAATGTATGTATAAGTTGACACACCCTCTAGGCTAGATAAAGGGTAGTGCTGAGGAAGAAGCACATAGCTCAGGGTGGCACTTCTAGTCCAACCTCTGAGACAAGGGTCCGAAGACCAGTCAGCAAGAGTACAAACAAGAGAGGAGCAAACCAGGGCGGCACTACTAGTCCGGCCACTTAAAGAGAAGCCACAAGGCCAGTCTAAAAGATATATACAGTGACGGAAACAATTGTCAATGTGTTTTGTATTGATTGGGGTTTTTAGGCTTTAAGACCACAATACATTAAGCCTTAATGGTTTATGGTGGTGCGATTTGGGAGGTTCATATAGTGGATGTGTTCACAACACAAAACTCTAGAATAGTACATTGGATCAAACTCATACCCCAAAAGAGAAACAAATAGTACATCCGAACAAATAGTTTCAAGCACAGAGAGCAAACTTCAGAACAATGTTTCTGGTACCTAGCCCACTGATCTTTGGCCTTGATCACCACCTGCACCCTCCTAGGCATGTTACCTACCAGGTTAGTGCAAACCTTGGCAGGGATCTTTTTGCACTCTTCTTGGATCCACCATTTTGCATAAGGGAGTGAGCACTAGGAAAATCGCTAAGGAGTCGAGCGTAGGCAAGATTATTGTGGACAATTTCTGATTGAATGGTGTCTCTGAGACTAGTAATGCTCAAGTGTGGCCAAAGATGTCATTAGCCGATCGGCCCCATCTTATCGCGGATCGTCTTCGTCATACCGTTGTGGGGTAAAATAACGAACGGAGCGGCCAAAACTAGTGTATACACCTCGAAACTGAGGGTAACGTAGCACGGTCGACTATGTACCCTTGCACCATTAAAATCACGCTAGGATCCGCGGGTCTACTCGCGGTGCAGCAGTCGTAGAAGCCACGACTGTTCTGAAAGAATATCCAAGGCCGGCTGCAACTCGTGGAGCCGCATGCTGAGTGGACAATGAATGTTTAGAAGCATGTGATTTGGTAAAATGGGACCAAGATTAACTGCTTCCGCTCCAATGGCCGCGAGTTTGCCTGGATTCGTGAAGGCAGAACCCTTCAGCGCCACCAAACCAAATAAACGGTAAACCATGGGGACAAGGCTCGGTAATAGTGTGGGGATGTATGACATATGCGGGGGTGGGGTTCATATGCAAGATTGACGAACGCATGAACAGAACCCTGTATGAGGGCATTTTGCACGAAGAACTTGAATCAACTATCGATTTCTACTTAATTTCCCCCTCTGAGATCATTTTGGTGCGGATAATGATCCCAAGCATTTGTCATGCCTAGTGCAGGAATGACTTGGAGTGCATGATTATGTAGCGCTAGAGTGGCCTTCTTCCTAATCAAACCTCAACCTCTAGGCTTACCTGAAGGGGGAGCTAGCCAAATATAAAAGGCCTCCCTTTGGAATGCCAGAGCTTTGGGAGCGGGTCTTGGAAGAATGGGAGAAGATCCATGCCGAGGTTTGCTCTAACCTCATCGATAGCATGCTTAGGACGCTGCGGTCGGTGATCAAGGCCAAGGGTCGGTGGACTAGGTAGTAGAAACGCAGTTCAGAAGTTTGCTCTCTGTGCTTGGAATTATTTGTCCGGATGTACTCTTTGTATATCCTTTGGGGTATTAGTTTGCTATCTGTGCTTGGATGTACTTTTTTGGAGTTTTGTGTTGTGAACACATCCACTATGTGCCCCTCCTAAATCGTACCATGATTAAATATTAAGGCTTAATGTATAGTGATATTAAAGCTTAAAAAATCCCTAATCAATGCAAAACATACGAACAATTGTTTCCGTCACTGTATAAAGAGGAGTACACAATCAAGATCCTAGCAAGTGAGAGTCTAAAAGAACTAGACCAAGCTGCAAACAGTGCCGCTGATGATCTTTAGGCGCAAGCGCCTTAGTAAAGATATCAGCTGTGTTGGCACCGGAGGCCAAGTATACTACGCGGGCCTAGCGGCGCTACTGTAGCTCGTGCATGAGGAAGTACCGCAACTGGATGTGCTTCGCTCTGCCCTCAAGTCGAGGCTCCTGACACAGGAGGATCGTGGCCCTGTTGTCAGCGTACAAGACTAGGGCAGAACTAGGCCGCTCACCTAAGTAGGTAAGCAAGAAGGTCAGCCAGCGGAGCTCCTGTGCCGCCATGGCACCGGCGTAAATCTCAGCCTCACAGCTAGACTGGGCAACAGACGAAGAGCGAGTGGACCTCCACGAGATGGCACCTGAACCAAGGCTAACGCAGTAGCCCTAGGAGGACCTGAGGGTCTTAGCGTCGTCTGTCCAAGAAGCGTCTGTGTGCCCAGTAAGGACCACTGGTCTTCGTCCTCCTAGCACTAACCCCATGCCCGATGTACTTGCTAGATAACGCAAAACCCTCTTAGCGGCCGACCAGTGCTGTGGCCACAAAGCGAGCCAGGATGCTGAGAGGGTATGCGAGATCTGGACGAGTGCAAGTCATCAGGTACATGAGGCAACCCACCAGCTTTGCGTAAGGACCACTGGGCTCTACTAACTCCTCAGAAACTAGAGCTGAGAGCTTGTAATCTACTGGCAGAGGTGTGGGCTGTGCGGAGGAGAAGTGAAGACCGAACCTCTGAAGGACCTGACGCACCAAGTGTGACTATGTGAGAGTGATGGTCCGCGCTGCTCTATACCTAGAGATCTGCAAGCCATGGTAGCGGCGCAACTCTCCTAGGTCAGTGCAGGTGTGTCTCCTCAGCAGCTCGGCCTTCATAGAGGCCAGCGCGTCTCTGTCTGCAGTAGCGAAGACCAGGTCATCTACGTAGACAAGGATGTAGAACAGGGTCTGGCCAGCACGAACGAAGAGCGAGGGGTCTGCAGATGACGGAAAGAGCTGCAGGTCAGCTAGCATAGCACGCAGCGTGTCGTGCCACTCACTGGGCGCCTGTCGCAGGCCGTAGACTGGGCGCCGAAGGAGCCACTCGGTCCCAGGAGGGAAGGTACCAGTAAAGCCCTGAGGATGGCGGTAGACGTGCTCGTGTAGGCTGCCCTGAAGAAACGTAGTGGAGAAGTCGAGGGAGTGTAACTCGTAGTCACGATGTGCTGCTACGTGTAGCAGCGCCCGAAAAGTAGTCATCTTCGGGGTCGGGGCGAAGGTCTGAAAGAAGTCCACCCCCTCACACTGACTGAAGCCTCTAGCCATGTAGCGTACCTTGAATACAGGCGGCTCTCCAGGGGGGCGCTTCACCTTGAAGAGCCACCGGTCATCGACTACGTTCAACCCAAGTGGGGGATCTGCGTCAACGTAGGTGCCGGTGGATCTCCAAGATGCCATCTCCTCCTCCATGGCAGCTATCCATTGAGAGGCCCAGGGTCCTGAAGTCGCCTCAGCGTAAGTGCGAGGGG